GTGTGTATGAGAGACGATATAACGAAAGAACTTAATCAAGGAATATCATGGATACGATTCGCTGTAATTAAGCGAAGGATAGGGAAGGGGATCTTTAATTGTCTTCCCACCCTTTACCTACCCCTTGTCTCCCTTCCTCCCTTACTTCCCCCCCCCACTCATCCCTTGCCTGGGAGCTCTACCTCCCCTCTCTCCATCCTCCCTCTCACGATGCACGTAGGATATCCGTTAATTAAGCCGCTATCACACCTGCTAATGACGCACCTCACGTGAGGGCTTATTAAGAAAGGCAGGTAACTGCTCTGGAGGTCTGGATGATAATCATATGTCTGTCTGTATCTCTCTCTCTCTCTCTCTCTCTCTCTCTCTCTCTCTCTCTCTCTCTCTCTCTCTCTCTCTCCTCTCTCTCCTCTCTCCTCTCTCTCTCTCTCCCTCTCTCGCTTCCCCTGTCTTTATTTCACCTCTCTCCCTCTCTTTTCCTGTCTTTATTTCACCTCTCTCTCTTTCACCTCTCTGTTTGTCTCTGTCTCTCTGTCTCTTTCTCTCTCTCTCTCTTTCTCTCTCTCTTCTCTCTCTCTCTCGCTCGCTTCCCCTGTCTTTATTTCACCTCTCTTTCACCTCCTTGTCTCTGTCTCTCTGTGTCTATGTCTCTCTGTGTCTATGTCTCTCTGTGTCTCTGTCTCTCCGTGTCTCTCTCTCTCTCTCCTGTGATATTTCACAATTAAAATTTGCTTTAATTCTCACTGTGTCGTACGTTACAATGAGTCTTCATTATCTTGCTTCGTTATACACATTATCATAATTCATTGTTTCCTGCTTTACGATTTTTTACAAAAACGTTTTTTTCTTCTATATTCTCACCATCAGCAGTTGTTAACAAGAAACAAATAAAAGAAACGAGCAGTTTTTCTTAGTTCTTTATTACAGGATGTGTATGTGTGTGTGTGTGTTTGTACGTGTGTGTGTGTGTTTGTGTGTGTGTGTGTGTGTTTTTGTGTGTGTGTTTGTATGTGTGTGTGTGCTTGTGTGTGTGTGTGTGCTTGTGTGTGTGTGTGTGCTTGTGTGTGTGTGTGTGCTTGTGGTGTATGTGTGTGTGTGTGTGTGTGTGGGGTGTGTGTGTGTGTGGTGTGTGTGTGCGTGTGTGTGTGTGTTTTTTGTGTGTTGTGTGTGTTGTGTGTATGTGTGTGTGTATCTTGATAATAAATTTATTGTAAAAAACAGTTTTACTGACCCATTATGTCTATGTATTTACAAACACGTGATGATATGTATAAAGATATGATGTGTATATATATGTATACATATGGGAATGACTCTCTTACTTACTATGTAATCGCTTGGACACACACACACACACATACGGGGCCTGGAGCTTGGATTCGACCCCTGCAACCTCAACTAGGTGAGTACACACACACACACACACACACGGCCTGACGACACTGGAGTACAGGGGGGTCAGGGGAGACATGATAACGACATACAAAATACTGCGTGGAATAGATAAGGTGGACAGAGACAGGATGTTCCAGAGATGGGACACAGAAACAAAGGGTCACAATTGGAAGTTGAAGACTCGAACGAGTCACAGGGATGTTAGGAAGTATTTCTTCAGCATAGAGTCGTCAGGAAGTGGAATAGTCTAGCAACTGATGGAGTGGAGGCAGAAACCATACATAGCTTAAAGACGAGGTATGATAAAGCTCGGGGAGCAGGAGAGAGAGAGAGGATATAGTAGCGATCAGTGAAGAGGCGGGGCCAGGAGCTGTGACTCGATCCCTGCAACCACAAATAGTAAGTACACACAGACACACAGACACACACACAACACACACACACACACACACACACACACACACACACATTTCTAACTCACTGGGAACGTTCAGCAGCATTTCTGAACACCTTTGTAACCTGTGGCGTCGTGACACGTTCACTTGAACTTTATGAACGACCATCACACTTGAACTAACTAGATTATTACATAATTCATAAACCAGCTAACAAGATAATTTGTAGATAATTCATGAACTTTTGTATGAAATAACTTACATTGTTCACCAATAATTGCATTTTCATTTTCTCTCAGTTTAACTTTAGCTCCAGATTATTTCATAATAATAATAATAATAATAATAATAATAATAATAATAATAATAATAGCAGAAGACAACAGAAACAATAAAATCAGTAACTAAAACTAATATTATATATATATATAAAATATATATATATATATATATATATATATTATATATATATATATATATATATATATATATATAATATATATATATGTCGTGCCGAATAGGCAGAACTTACGATCTTGGCTCAAATAGCAACGCTTCATCTTGCCATATAGGACAAGTGAAAATTTGTGTATGCAATAATTTCGGCAAAATCATTCTGAACCTAACGAAAAAAAAATATATTTCACTGTGTTTGTTTAGTATTAAATTATTGTAAACAAATCTAAAATAATTTAGTTGGTTAGGCTAAAATAAATTGTTCTTGTTATAATAAGGTTAGGTAAGTTTTCTAAGATTCTTTTGGTGCAAAATTATAAATTTTTACATTAACATTAATGAAAAAAATATATCTTTAACGTTAAAAGAAAATTTCAGAAGACTTAATTTTAATGAGTTCTTGCTAATTGACCAGTTTTACATATTCGGCACGACATAATATTTATATAATATATATATATATATATATAATATATATATATATATATATATATATATATATTATATATATATATTATATATATATATATATATATATATTATATATATATATATATATATATACTTATTTCTTATTGCAGGATTTGATATAAGTCAGAACATTAAGAGTCTTACATTCAGTAGGAATGAAGCAACATCCTCGCCTCACTAGACTGAAGCAACATCCTCGCCTCACTAGACTGAAGCAACATCCTCGCCTCACTAGACTGAAGCAACATCCTCGCCTCACTAGACTGAAGCAACATCCTCGCCTCACTAGACTGAAGCAACATCCTGCCACAAACTGAATACTCTCGCCTCACTAGACTGAAGCAACATCCTCGCTCTCACTAGACTGAAGCAACATCCTCGTCTCACTAGACTGAAGCAACATCTTCCTTACGGAACCTAATCCAACACTTTCAATACACAGGACAACCAGTGCTCTCCTTCAGCGCCTTCGAGTCACGGTGGCGATCACAACCTTCCTGCAATACTGACAGTGCTGTCCGAATTATCCAGGTCCATCTTGCTTTCTTCTTTCAAGTGAGAGACGTGGATTCACTTCTTTCACCAGACACTATGATTCTTTCTCAGCACTCAAAATAACCTTCTCTGCCTGTCACTTTTTAGAGGGACCAAATATTTACCATTTTTTTTTCCAAGTATGTTGATATATTTCTTAGAGTTTGTGTTCGTTTTATAATCGTATTTTAGGACTGGAAAAAAATATACAGTGGAACACCACGTGATGATAAATAAAAACAATATGATGGGCGAGTTGGTGGCGATAAGAATAACTAATTTATATTCGCCTGCATAACGAAATATGTACACCTGAATACTGACTGAATAACAGGGACAACCTCTCTCTCTCTCTCTCTCTCTCTCTCTCTCTCTCTCTCTCTCTCTCTCTCTCTCTCTCTCATACATAAATACACACAAATACACGAATGACCCAGTTAGTTTAATTATCGAATGAGTTTAAAAATCTCATTACCAAAGGCACTCAATGGTTTCTGATCCTATAAAGTTCCGGCTGGTTTCAGATCCTGAAGTTCTGATGGGTTTCTGATCCTGAGGTTGTCGGTTGTTTTCAGATTCTGAAACTCTCAGTAACATCACAGGCTAAAAATCCTCAGTGGTTTCAGATCCTGAACTTAGTGGTGGTTTCAGAATCATAAGATGTCAATAACTTAAGATCCTGCCGTTTTCAGTGGCTTCAGAAATTCAAGTTCTCATTGGCTTCAGATCCCGAAGTTCTCATTGTTTTCAAATCCCGAAGTTCTCAGTGATTTCAGATTTTCAAGTTCTCACCGGTTTCAAATCCTAAACCCGTTTGTGATTCCAGATCCTGAGGTTTCAAGTGTTTCAAAATCCTTGAGATTTGTTTTTATTTCAGGTCCTCAGCTATTTTTTTTTTATTTTCAAAGCAAAAGAATTTTTTTCCTTGATAATGGTGTCTGAAATGCTTCGCCTAACAAGCATTTTTCTTACGAACGTGCCACTGTAACTGTCCACTTATATGATGGCTGTATTAAAACTGTAGCCAAATTTCACACTCATTTAACTTTCATGTCTGTTTCAAAAAATATATATTTTCATTTTTGAGATTTGTGTCTTATTTTTCCCGTTCACTCAGGTCATGGGAAATTTGGTCTAGTTTGAGCAAGAGGATTCGGACAATGTTACCGACTGCCCACATTAATGGAGGAAAAACAGAGGTACGGAGAATGACTTTTCTCGGGATGGGGAACGTTTCGCTCTGTGGAGAGATTTGATAAAGCTCTACGTAGAGTAGAATGAGACCATGTGCAATCTTTATTGATTCCCAGGTGTCTCTTTCTAAATCATTTACATCACTTCTGCGCAAAGACTAAACCTGTCCCAATAAATACTTGCTCCTAAGTCTTGTCTTCAACGATCATGGGGTAGTCAGTGTATCCTTTGACAGTGTAGTGCCATGCAGATCTCTCTCTTTCTCTCTTGTTTTGTGTCATCTCAGTAGTCTGGCTACTGGGAAGTACTAGTCCAGGTAGTCCGGCTACTAGGAACTGCCTCTGTCAGCGGACGACTTCCCTTAAGCCAAGTACACGGAGTTCTTATACTACTCGAAGTTACTTCGGCCACTAGCCAGTTCAGGCGATTCTGACTGCTGGACTACCTCGGTCACTGAGCAGTCCAGGTGGCTTACATACCGGAAGATGACACAAATACAGGACGGTCCCGTTAGGCCTGGTACTTCCCCCGGTATGACGGATATTGGTAGTCACATTAGTCACTGGCGCAAAGGAAGCCTTTGTAGCAGCTTTCACCACCGATGGAGGAGGATTCATTTAAGTTTCCATCACTGCTTAAAATAGTGGGCGAGGGCGGCCTGCGTGGGCGTGGGCGGGTAGAGGACCCTGGGCGTGACGAGGGTGGGCGGAGAGGTGGTGGAGGACAACCCCGGGGAGGGGAAGAGTGTGGGCGTGGGGCGGCCGCCATGGGTAAAAGCTCCCGGGCAGCGCCCCCCCCCGCCGCCCGCCGCAGCTGTACGTTTTAAAACACCGCAACTGCGCCTGTGGAGACAACAGGGGGTTTTTTAGGCATATTGAATGAAATTTTTTATACACATACATTTAAACAAATGTATATTTAAAAACTTTGGGATTCTCGTAAATTTCAAAAATTTTTTTCCTGAAACACTCCCCCTGAAGATGTGAGAGTCAACACAGGGAAAGCGATCAGAATTTTCTTTCTTTAAATGTGGCAGTGAAACCCAATATATGCAGCCATAGTTTGGCATGTTAAATCCTTGCCAAAAAAACCCCGCTTTATTAACTTTAATACCCAAACATCACTGCCAACTTTGGGATGTAAAATCTTTTTTTTAAAAATTTTTTTTGGACATTGAAAAAATACTTTTGAAAACTATTTTCTTTAAAAAATAATTTCCCATTCAGAAATTTTTTCACAGATCACAAATTTTTTTTGACGGGTAAAATTTTTTAATTTTTTGTTTGGGGCAAAAATTTTAATCGTATTTCTGCGTAAAAAAACCCTTTAAAGGAAAACAAGGTTTTTTTGCCCATAAATTATATTAACTAGACCCTCCCTATTACTAAGAACATAAAAAAAGGGAGGAACACTGAAGGGGGTTTTTTGGCCCATACTGGGCGGGGTCCTTTACTTTCATCCCACAAAAAAAAACATTTCCCAAACCCCAAATTTTTAAATGCCCCCCAAAAAATCCTGTTGTAAAGCCCCTCTCAAACCCAAACCCCCTTCCACTCTTGTACTTATAAAAACCCAAAATTTGAAACAAAACCCAAAAGCCCCGCCTCAAAAACCCCAACTAGGTAACTGTTTTACTAAACAACTCCCCTTTTTTCCAAACCAATATTTTCCCTATGGCCCTTTTCCCCAAAAATCTAAACTTATCAAATTTTAAAACCCAAACCCTGGGGTTTTCTCTCTTGGAGAGACACCCCAAAAAGCCCCTTTTTAAATATCCCCTTTATTAATACCAAACTTCCCCCCTTATACATTCGATCAGGTCTCCCCCATTCTTCGTCTAACAAGTGAATGTAACTTAAGAGTCTTCAATCTTTCTTCATAAGGAAGATTTCTAATGCTATGTATTATTTTAGTCATCCTAACGCTGAATGTTTTCTAACGAATTTATGTCCATTCTGTAATATGGAGACCAGAACTGAGCTGCATAATCTAGGTGAGGCCTTACTAATGATGTATAAAGCTGCAGTATGACCTCTGGACTTCTGTTGCTTACACTTCTTGATATAAATCCCAGTAATCTATTTGCCTTATTACGTACGCTTAGGCATTGCTGTCTTGTTTAAGGTTGCTGCTCACCATAACCCCCAAGTCCTTTTCGCAATCTGTATGGCTAAGTTCTACATCATTTAACTTATAAGTACTAGGGTTATGGGCACTCCCAAGCTTCAGAACCTTGCATTTATCTACATTGAACTGCATCTGCCACTTTTCTGACCAAGAATAGAGATTGTTTAAATCCTCCTGAAGTTCCATAACATCTACGTTTGAATCAATTATCCTACCTATCTTTGTGTCATCGGCGAATTTGCTCATATCACTAGTAATTCCCTCATCAAGATCATTGATATATATTACAAACAACAACGGGCCCAAGACTGATCCCTGTGGAACGCCACTTCTTACAGATCCCCACTCGGATTTAACCCCATTTATGGACACACTCTGCTTCCTGTCAGTGAGCCATGACTCGATCCACGAGAGCACTTTTCCCCCAATGCCATGAGCTGCCACTTTCTTTAACAGTCTATGGTGCGGAACTCTATCAAAAGCCTTACTAAAATCTAAGTAAATAATATCAAATTCTCTATCGTGGTCAACAGCCTCAAAAGCTTTACTGAAGAAAGTTAATAAATTAGTTAGACAAGACCGGCCTCTTGTGAATCCATGCTGAGTATCATTAATCAAGCTATGCTTATCGAGATGGCTTATAATCTCAGCTATAATTGACTCTAGTAATTTGCCTACAATTGAGGTCAGGCTTATAGGGCGGTAGTTTGACGGTAACGACTTGTCCCCTATTTTAAAAATAGGAATTACATTAGCCATCTTCCACATATCAGACACTACACCTGTTTGAAGAGATAAATTAAAAATATTAGTTAATGGTTCACAGAGTTCCATTTTGCATTCCTTAAGAACCCTTGAAAAAACCTCATCAGGACCCGGTGACTTATTTTGCTTCAGTCTGTCTATCTGCTTCACAACCATTTCACTAGTGACTGTGATGTTACATAATTTATCTTCTTCTAGCCCACTATAAAAATTAATTACTGGAATATTATTAGTGTCTTCCTGTGTAAAAACTGAGAGAAAATAATTATTTAAAATCGAGCACATTTCATTCTCTTTGTCATTTAAGGTGCCCATAGTTATTTTTAAAAGGGGGCCTATCTTATCTCTAACTTTTGTTCTTTAGACCTGGAAAAAACTTTTTGGGTTAGTTTTAGAATTCCCTAGCAACTTTAATTTCATAGTCCCTTTTAGCTTTTCTTATCCCCTTTTTAACGTCCCTCTTAATGTCAATATACTGATTCATAAGATGACCCTCACCTCTTTTGATACGCCTATAAATTCCTTTCTTATGCCCTAGTAGATATTTGAGCCTATTATTCATCCATTTTGGGTCATTTCTATTTTATCTAATTTCTTTATATGGGATAAACGTTCTTTGAGCAGCATGTATAGTGTTCAGAAAACTGTCATATTGATAGCTCTCTTCGTTACCCCAGTCAACAGATAAGTGTTCTCTAAGCCCATCGTAATCTGCTAAGCGAAAATCTGGGACTGTTACTGAGTTATCGCTACTATCGTACTTGGAGTTTACCTGGAGAGAGTTCCGGGGGTCAACGCCCCAGCGGCCCGGTCTGTTCTGCAGGAATTTGTTAAGTGTTCAACGTGGATGTAAACTATTCTGTATTTGTTTCAGTAAGAACAACAAGGATGTCACCAGAAGTGAATAGTCGAATCAAGGTGTTTTACGTGCAGTCTATGCAAATTGTGCGTACGGACATTCGTGTTCGTGCATTCCGACTCCTGCAATTTGTGGTTGTAGGGGTTGATTCACAGTTCTTGGCTTCGCATCTTAACTATTCGTCACAAGGTGCACTCTCTCCCTTCTAAATGAGCTTTATCATATCTCTTCTTGAAGCTATGTATGGATCCTGCCTCCACTCTGTGTGTGTGTGTGAGTGTGTCATATTTTCGTTGTAAATTCTCCCACTCACATGGCGGTAGTATAGATCCATGGAGGAGGAGAGGGCGGCCATGGAGGAGAGGGCGCCCACAGCGGAGAGATGGGCGGTAGGATGGGCGGGTGCAGGAATCCCAGGCGGCGTCGTGTAGGGCCAGTACCCGCCCATCAGCCGCCCATACCCGCCCTCAGCCAACAGCTCAAGTCCCACGGCTGTCTGCCTCTTCCACTTAGTCCTGTAAGAGACAGAGAGAGATAAATATTTACGTAAACAAGTGTCCCACTGACGCTAGGTCACCTTAAGTGTCCCACTGACGCTAGGTCACCTTAAGTGTCCCTCTGACTCTGGATCACTTTAAGAGGCGCGTGAGTTTCCCTGTTTCCAAATATCATATTCATTTTTCTTCTGTTATCTACCTTATCCATAATTACTATCTCATTTCCTTAATTCATGGTATAACTTAACAAATCCTTGATGACAGCGTAGTGTCTAACCTCACTAGGTCAAGGCATTTGCTTAAGCCATTGGGAGAATTGGACCTGCCTCGCATAGGCCAGTATACCTGTTGCAGTGTTCCTTCTTTCTTATGTGTGTGTGTGTGTGTGTATCTTATTCACTGGAAACTGAGTGGTTGGTGTTTCATCTCTGTGAGAGGGAGCCAATCTTTCCAAGAGGTTCTCTTCCCACTAAGAACCCAGCATTTCTATCGGCATAAATAAAGGGTATATTTCCCCTTTCGTCAAAATGTACGTACTAGCCAAATTATGGGAATCAACTGCGGAGTGTAAAAAAAGAAGATAATTTGTAATTATGATTTATATAACATGAGAATAAATTTGCAAGGAAAAATATGAAGTTCGTAACGATATTCTATATTTATTAACTTATAAAATAACTGAATAAACGAGCGAGTCTTCTGCGTTACAATTAAATCAGATAAATAAACAGAGAGAATGCGTGAACAGATGAGCCGTTCTTGAAGAAGAAAGAGGGAGGGAATGGGGGGGGGGTGCGTTGTGGCTGGTGACAGGCTTTTGATCCGAGGAATTGGTGTTGTCCTCACCTTCCTGGGATCAAACCTGAGTACCTTACATTTCCCAGATGCTGTATGTCCCCTACGAGCATAATGCTTCCTCGTGAACTTAATAATGAGTAATAATAATAATAATAATAATAATAATAATAATAATAATAATAATAATAATATAGGAAAGCTATCTGCACTAAGCTTTCCTTTTCCAAGCTTAAAACAGTAACGACTCACTTGTCCCTTAACATAAATAAAAATAATATATATCTTTAAATGCATAAGAGAAAATTTAGAAAGGACTTAATTTTAAATGAGTTCTTGTTAATTGACGAATTTTGCCTATTTGGCACACACACACACACACACACACACACATCGGGGCCAGGAGCTCGGACTCGACCCTCGCAACCTCAACTAGGTGAGTACATTATATATATAATATATATATATATATATATATATATATATATATTATATTATTTATATATATATATATATATTATATATATATATATAATATATATATATATATATATATATATATATATATATTATTTTCTCTGAGGATGAGGGTCCCTATAACAGTTCTAGAGGTGGTACCTCCCTATATTTATATATATATATATATATATATATATATATATATATATATATATATATATATATATATATATATATATATAATGTATATATATATATATATATATATATATGTATATATATATTATATATATATATATATATATATATAATGGGTGGTGTGAATATAATGCAGAGAATTCGTAGTTTGGAAGTTAGGAGGAGGTGCGGGATTACCAAAACTGTTGTCCAGAGGGCTGAGGAAGGGTTGTTGAGGTGGTTCGGACATGTAGAGAGAATGGAGCGAAACGAATGACTTCAAGAGTGTATCAGTCTGTAGTGGAAGGAAGGCGGGGTAGGGGTCGGCCTAGGAAGGTTGGAGGGAGGGGGTAAAGGAGGTTTTGTGTGCGAGGGGCTTGGACTCCAGCAGGCATGCTGTGACGTGTTTGATAGGAGTGAATGGAGACAAATGGTTTTTAATACTTGACGTGCTGTTGGAGTGTGAGCAAAGTAACATTTATGAAGGGATTCAGGGAAACCGGCAGGCGGACTGAGTCCTGGAGATGGGAAGTACAGGCCTGCACTCTGAAGGAGGGGTGTTAATGTTGCAGTTTAAAAACTGTAGTGTTAAGCACCCCTTCTGGCAAGACAGTGATGGAGTGAATGATGGTGAAAGTTTTTTTTTTTTCGGGCCACCCTGCCTTGGTGGGAATCGGCCGGTGTGAAAATAAAAAAAAAAAAAAAAAAATATATATATATATATATTTATAATATATTTATTATATATATATTATATATATATATATATTATATTTTATATATTATATACAGAGAATGAAATAAGAGGTTAAAAAGCTCTAAGACGTTCTGCAGCTGCTGGTGATAAAGGGAAGAGGAGAATGTGTCAGTGACGACAGATGTTTGGCAAATTGTGTAGCCTGGGGTAATGTGGGTGTCAGTGTGCACGATCTCCAGGGAGATATATGGCACTGTTTAAGCTTAAGATACTACTGTAGTTTTTCTTACCAAATTTACACGGTAGAGATTTCTTTTAACTATCTTTACCATGTAATTTCTGTCTGTCTTTTCTCTCTCTTCTTCATGCTATATTGATAACCCCGCCCCTCCACGCCCACAGCTAACTCCGCCCCCTCCACGCCCACAGGTTACCCCGCCCCCTTCACACCCACACCGTCGCCCATATCCGCCCTCAGATCGTCTAGAAATGCAAGCAGTGTGTGGAACACAATGAGATTTACTGAATGGTCACACATTCAGCTCTCGGCCAGTAGAATCAGGACCGTCATTTCTCTGTGGAAGAACGAGGAAGAGAGAGGTGAAAGAGAGAGTTGGATGAAGAAGAGGGTGTGTAGAGATTAAGGGGAGGGGGTGAGGAGAGAGACATAGAAGAAGGAAGTAGAGACTAAATTAGAATAAAAGAAATACTAGTCAAAATTCTGAAATGTAAGTTTCAAAAGTTTCGGATCTGATGCTTCTGGATCTAGATGCTTTGAACTTTCAGATTTTCGACCCTGAAAATTTATAATCTGGAACGTTTGTTTTTGTATCGTGCAATGTGTTTCACGCGGCCAGATTATCCTGGATTGTTATGCCTCCCTACTAGAAATTTTCGTCTCCAAAATGTAGTCTAAATCGTCCAGATAAACAACACAAACAACGCAATTACCTTAAAATTAAAACTTTTTTAACGTTGTCGATCTCTCGTAAAAACCTTGAAGAATTACCCGCTCAGTAAATCATCAGGATGATCTTTGAACCACCACGAAAACCGCAAGAGATACTTAATAGATCACTACCAACTTATATACTTACCTTAATATCTGCCTAGAATTTTGACACCATCAAATTTGCATAATATTAGGGGGTTAAAGGTTGGTAGTGAATATAAATGTGTACTCAAGTTACGGGTTAGTTTGGTATATTAGTATAAGTGAGTGTTTAGTGATGAACGTGCGATGCGCAGAGTCTCTGGTTACATTGAGGTCGCCCGGAGTCGACTTCGACTACTGCTCGAAGTAATCAGCGTTGGTTCTTTTACCGGGAGGCAATACTGAGAAGAATTTCCGTGTTTCTTCTTCCACGTTTCGTTTGTTCGTTTATCTGTGCGTTTCGTTTCCTGGCTTCTCTGTGCTTCTCTTAGCGTTTCGTTTTCCATGTCTTCCTGTTATCGCCTTGACCTCACCTCCACCACACATTTTCTCCTTCCCATATTTTTGTACTTTCCCTCTTCAGGGCTATCCCTCCTTTCTCTTTGTGCCCTCTACTCTCTTCCTCTTTATCCACATGTCCTTCCCCTATCCATTCTTTCATCATTCATACTCCCCATGCATGGTACATTTCACCGCTATCTGTTCTCATTACTCTTATCTTCCTGCCTCACCTTTCTTACAGTATACCAACTCTTTCTTTACCAACTTCCATCCATTTCTCTTTCCATCCATCAACTCCATTCCATCCAGTCCTCTCTTCCATCCATTCCACTTCAATTGTTTGGCATCGACGCAACATAACACGGAATACCAGGCAATAACCACCACACAACACGGAATACCAGACAATAAGCACGACAAAACAAGGAATACCAGGCAATAACCACGACAAAACAGGAAATACCAGGCAATAACCACGACAAAACAGGGAATACCAGGCAATAACCACGACAAAACAAGGAATACCAGGCAATAACCAAGATAAAACAAGGAATACCAGGCAATAACCAAGATAAAACAAGGAATATCAGGCAATAACCACGACAAAACAAGGAATACCAGTCAATAACCACGACACGAACGACTGCGTGTCAATCTGACAGATTTTATCCTCTCGAACTTTCCGATGATGTCGTTACTAACCGACTGACAACCAACGATGAAGACGGGAAGAGAAGAAAAAAAAGTGTGATAAACTCACTGAAATTACATACTGGTGGTGTTCTCTTTGTCACCTATATCAAGGTCTTGCTGTAGTGCGTAATCTCTCTCTCTCTCTCTCTCTCTCTCTCTCTCTCTCTCTAGGTCTTGCTGTTTCTATATCTATGTCCTTTGGAATAAAAAAATGAGAGGTAAAGTTTTAATAATAATAATAATAATAATAATAATAATAATTATTATTATTATTATTATTAGTAGTAGTAGTAGTAGCAGCGTATACTACACAAGTATTTTAACATCGACGTAATAATAATAATAATAATAATAATAATAATAATAATAATAATAATAATATAATAATAATAATAATAATTATTATTAATTCAAAAAGCTACTTCGGAATGCGTTGGACAATCACAAAATTCGCTAGTCTGTAGTCAAGCAAATGCACTGGCGCAGGAAAACCTCTTATTATGACACGTTTCGCTCTTTGTAGAGCTCTGGACAGAGCGAAACGTCGTAACCATACGAGCTTGCTTAACCACCCCTGTATACGCACACTGACTCAATCCACACGCGGTATATCCACACTCGTTGTATCCACACGCGTCTACGTCCAGCCACTACACGGTAGATTAAGGTAGACTCACAGTGAGTATACACCGCGAGATGTATGCATCTGAGTGCTGTGTATACACTGAGAGATATACACCTGCATGTGCGGTGTATATCTCC